CCCCCCCGCTCTCCCCCCAACAACCTAAAGGCTAAATGCCAAAGCCAAAAGCCACTTTTTCTCTTGCCTTGTTTACTAATCTTTGCATTGGTAATGACGCTACAAATTTAGAATTAATGACTCCCTTCATGGCAATTAGGTAACTGTGTGACTTTTATTTTTGATCTCCTAACAAAAATAATATAGTTTTAAATTGAAAAATAATTTAATTTTATATTTTTTTACTTTACTAACAAGAATGATTTGTAGTTACACAAACTTCAAAAGTTCTTTTTTTTCTCCTTATTGTGTGCTTATACATTTTTGACTTATTTTTTAGATAACTAATTTTACATATTATATACTATAATTATATTTAAATAATTTGAATACAATCTTTTTACGAAAGAACAACAGAATTATCTTTAGATTTTACTATCTGGGACTCTTACCAATGAGCTGGTGATATAAAAAGTTAATTTAAAAGCAAAACTATTAGACAAATGTATCTTACATTTGGTATTCGTTTAATTTTAGGGGTGTTAATACTTTTAACCCGCACCAAAAATTATTTATATTCGTTAGCCGAAAAAATATATATAATTTATATAATTTTTGTGTATATATATATATATATAAATACAAAATATATATACCTATATATGTGTGTGTATTCGGCTATGATTTTTTAAAGCGGCCAAATAGTGTCATTTTCCCTTAATTTATTAATTTTATCAAAGTCGGCTGAAGCCCAAAGCTCATAAAACAGAGTGAAATTCAAAAATAGCCAGATTTACTAGTGGTCATTCAAAAATAGCCATAGTTTTAAAAGTAATCAAAATTTAGCCACTTTTCATGTAAAGATAAATTTGAACGAAAACACTGTTCAAAATTCGGAAAAATACTCCAGTATAATATACTGGAATTCCAGTATAATATACTGGGGTTCTAGCATAAGTATACTGGATTATACTGGAGTTCCAGTATAATATACCGGTCCAGCATAATATACTGGAACTTTTCGCGTGTTGGAGTTCCAGCATAATATGCTGGAAGTTCATACACAGGTGCACCGATCTCCAGTATATTATGCTTGAACTTCCCGTGTTGCAACAAAATTATGGCTATTTTTCAATACCTTTGCAAACGCTGGCTATTTTTGAATGATCTGTCCGAAAACTGAATAGCCCGTGCTATTTTTACGTTTTAGACCCCATAAATTTAGAGGCCCTACTTATTGGTAGTATGTACTTTCTTTATATTGAGATTTTAATACGGATAATGTTTTATTTAAAATTATTTTTATTAATAGCATTATTTTTGTTTATTCCATAAAATGATCTATTCTTTTACAATATAGCAGATTTCAAAGATTATGCGTAGATTAAGCAAAAAACGGACCCCGTAAATTATGGGATTAGTATCCCACTTTTAAGGAATATGTTTCGATTCCTATACGGAAAACAAGTTTTAGAAAGAGAAACTCTACCTTCTCTATAGGACTTACTCCCATGAATACAACCACTTTTACACCATTCATACCACCAGACGCACCGGACAAGAACCATATGGAAGTGGAAGAAACAACACCACATTTCTATAAGGAAATGCTTCTCGATAAACCGTTAATCCGCCAAAATGATTACTATGAGGAACACGCCACCACAATCATCAAAGATGATAAGGGAAAAAACATTGAAGGCTCAATCCCCCTTTCCCAGGAAGACAAGAAACGCCTATACTTCTCATGGCGTTTCTCTGTAATCATAAAGGTCTTTGGACGTAGAATGCAACATCAATATCTTCGCTCTAAACTAATTGACTTATGGAAACTATCTGAACAGTTAATCATGATTGATCTAGGATGGGATTTCTTCATTGTCAAATTTAGTCTAGAAGAAAATATGGCTAAAGCACTACATCTAGGACCATGGTTTGTCTTTGAGAATTTTCTTTCACTACGAAAATGGGAACCAAAATTTGTGCCACAAGAAGCTACCCTCTCTACCACAGCTATTTGGATTCGTCTCCCACAACTTCCAACAGAGTTCTACGACAAAGAAGTATTAGAGAAAGTTGGTAGAAAATTGGGCAGACTACTAAAAGTTGACTCATGCACCTCCTCCACTTTGAGAGGAAGGTACGCACGCATATGCATTTAAGTACCTTTGAAAATCCCAGTGGAAACATCAGTAATAATTGGAGACCACAAGCAAACAATAATTTATGAGGGAGAAGGTGCATTATGTACAACTTGCGGAAGAATTGGGCACATATCAAGAAATTGCAGCTACAAAAAAATACAACTACACATGCCACAAGAAGCACCGGAAACCTCAGGAAAAAAATGAAACAAGGGGATGAGAATGAATGGAAGACAGTAACCTTTCCAAGAAGAAAAAAAGCGGATCAACAAAAGGTCAAGGAGAGGAACAATGGATCTGCAAACAACCAACACCATGCATCATAAGCACAACGGATCCAGGTAAACATGCTTGACGCAAACTCAAGTAAGTTCCTACAAACTAAAACTATGCAATACAATTCTAAGTCAAACAATCCCAGACCAAAATTTTACAACAGGCCCAACGGCTCGACCAATAAACATAGCCCCATCCCCCACTCCCCTGCAACCCCTTCCACGAGGCCCAAACCTAAACATAATGCCAAACGCAAGGCAGGAATGGGGCCCGAGGAAACTGACACGATCTCCACCCTTGACCCACACATCGGCACCCACAACAAGGCCCCTACTCTTAGCCCAGTTCCCGATGCAAAAGATGTTAACCTCAAGGTATTGGATCACAAGGCCGGCCCGGATCAACCAATTGGGGCCCACACCCAATTGGAGATACCCAACCCAAATAATCACCCCTACCCAAACACCTATGTGTCTCCTACCTCTCTCTTAGAGAAAGCCTCTAATGGGGAAAACTCAACACACTCCATGAGCACTCAAGTGCCTCATCTGAGAACCCACTCAAACTCAGGTAAAAAGACACTCGCCGTCCATTCCACAAGATACCACATTAATTCTGAATCCCTCTCCCCAGATACAATAACTGATGCCTTTTTCACTGACCAAAATTTGACACCAAGGGACACAATATGAATCGGTCCATTAACATAACCCCCCCCCCCCATTATCCAAAGTAGCAAATAAAAAAAACACAAAAATGAAAAAAAAAAAAAAACAAAAGCCACCCACCATTGTGACCTCGCTGCCATACCACCGGACCACCTACCAGCATCCTGGCTGGATGTAGCGTTACAGGGGCAGGGGTTAGCCTACAATTTCACTCTGGGAAATCAACCAGGGACCTTGATTGTCCAGAATCCAGCACATTTGGCGAGGGTAACGGTGGAAGCACTAAACAAGGCCTTGGCTGCCTTTGGTCCATGCCTATGGCAAACAGTGGCGAACAACGACAATATGCAACCGAACATTGATCCACCTCTGCTCAACAGCCCAATGTCCCAATCCTTCCAGTCAATAACATTCTTCCTAGATCCGGCAACGGAGGATCCAGCGGCGTCGCCGGTCTTTGTGACCATCGAACCCCAAATCCACCAAGCCGCATCATTTTCTGCTCCACCAGAGAAGAGTCTGTCACCAGCACTGGGCAACATCACAAGGGAAATCAACAAGGCCCTAAATCTCCTGAAAAGGAAAAGCCCACCAGAAATTGAAGGAACAATCTATGGTCCCCTTCGCACAGACTCTCTACTATTAGACTCAGTCAGGGCGATAGAGTTCAGTGTAGAGACCAGCGAAGTACTAGTGTTGTTGTGCCCAAGAAAATGACCAAATGTGGACTGAGCCTAGTGTCTCACCACTCCTAAGGAGTGACCGAGCCGCTTCTCAATCTGAATCCAGTCCTCAGTATGAGGGGAAAGATCCAAACGACTCCAAAGAGGACTCACAGGAATGGAGAAACCTCAGGAAAGCCAGTTCCCACACATCCAACCACCCCTAATGAACTACATCATATGGGATGTTAGGGGTGGCAACAACGCTGAATTCAAGAGCCACTGCATGGATATGGTCAAGCTCCACAAGCCAGCTATGTTGGTACTGCTAGAGACCAAGATGGCTGACCACAAAAAACTAGCAGAGGAACTACAATTTGACCTGATAATCCAATCTCCGGCTATTGGTTTATCTGGGGGGATCGTGCTAATATGGAAAGAAGATAGTGTTAGTGCGGAAGAGGTTTCCACCACTCCTCAAAGTATCCATTCCATGGTAAAGGTACACCCTGACCACACCCCTTGGTTATTTTCTGCTATCTATGCTAGTTATACTTTAGCTAACAGAAAGTTACTCTGGGAGAGCTTAGTTACTATCTCCAAAACATCCATAAACAACTGGTTTGTGGGAGGCGTCTTCAATGAAGTCTTGAAAGCTAGGGATAAATTTGGGGGCAACCCAATAAACCCTAGTCGTAGTAACTTGTTTTGGAACTGCCTTAATGAATGCAAATTATTAGACTTAGGCTACAAAGGAAGTAAATTCACCCGGACAAATAAAAGATACAAGAATAGGACTTATCTGATTCTTGAAAGAATAGATATGTGTTTTGCCAATGAGAGTTGGACTTCCCAGTACCCTGAGGCTACTGTGATACACCTTCCTAGGACCCACTCTTATCACTGCCCCATTCAAGTAGTACTAAAAGGGGATTTATTCAATAATTTCACCAGACCTTTTAGGTTTGAATCCATGTGGACTAGCCACTCATCCTTTCCCAGTATCATCGTCCCCCCCCCACCCCCACCCCAATTCCACTCGAATTCAATCTATGAGTCCTTTAAGAGGATTGTGACCCAGTGGAACAAAAACACTTTTGGCAATATATTTCATAAAAAATGATGAATCTTAGCCAGAATTGCAGGAATCCAAAAATCCCCTAATTACCAGTTCAACAGCTACTTGTTAAACCTAGAAAACAACCTGACCAATGAGCTTGATTCCATCCTCAAAAATGAGGAGGACTTCTGGAAGCTCAAATCTAGGATTAACTGGCTTAATGATGGGGATGCCAACACTAGATTCTTTCACACATCCACTCTCAATAGAAGAAGAAGAAGAAACAGGATCCTCTCATTCAAAGAAGAGAGTGGAAACTAGTTCTATGATCAAGGAGACATCAAGACATCCATATTGTCCTTCTTAAAAAATCTCTACATCTCCTCACACTCACAAGCTCCCATATCCACCACCAACCACCTGGCCATGACCCATACCCTATCTGACTCTCAAAGGGATAGACTGGATAGGCCCTTTGAAATGGGAGAAATAAAAATGGCCATCTTCTCCTTCAAGCCCTTCAACTTCAAGGCTCCTGGGCTTGATGGCCTCCATCCCTTGTTATACCAGAAGTACTGGAGCATTGTAGGAAATTCAGTAACTGATTTCTGCAAGCAATGCTTCACTACTAATTTCATGGATGAGACCATGAATCAAACTCTGCTTTTTATCATTCCAAAGTGCCCCCAAACTTCTATGCTCAAAAACTTCAGACCAATTGGACTCTGTAACACAATCTACAAGTCCATCACTAAGATCATCGTAAACAGAATCAAGCCAATGCTTCCTGACATAATTGGCCCTAGCCAGGCCAGTTTCCTTTCAAATAGGAGTGCTTATGATAATGCTATCATTGTGCAAGAGTAAATTACTCACTTTAGGAAAATGAAAGGGAAACATGCTCACATGATCCTCAAAATAGACCTAGAGAAAGCCTTTGACAGGCTAGAATGGTACTTCATCAGGGACACCCTCCATGCCTTTAACTTTCCCCCTGGGCTGACCAAGTTAATTATGTCTTGCATCAGCTCTTCCAGCATCTCAATCTTTGTAAATGGAGGTAAAACTGAAGCATTCAAGCCCTCCAGAGGCATCAGACAAAGGATCCCATATCCCCTTACCTTTTCATCCTGTGTATGGAAAGACTCCAGGTCAATTGACCAAGCTATGCTGGACAACCAATGGCAGCCTATAAGTATTAGCAGGTCTGGCCCAAGAATCTCCCACCTTTTCTTTGCTGATAACCTTACCCTATTTTCCAAGGCAAACAACAGGAACTGTACCACCATATATTATATCCTGCAGTCCTTCAATGAGAACTCTGGACAAAAAATCAACGTTACTAAGTCCAGAGTACTCTTCTCCTCTAATACTGCTTAGGACACCATGGAATGTCTCACTAATGCACTATCAATCCAAGCTACTACCTCCTTTGGTAAATACCTTGGTTTTCCTATGTTCCATAAGAGATCTACTGGATCTGACTTTAAGTTCATAATAGACAATATGCAATGCAAGCTGGCTGGCTGGAAAAAAATTATCTAAACATGACTGGTAGGACCATTCTGGCTAAGTCATCCCTTAATAGTATCCCTAACCATGTCATGCAATATATCAATTTGCCCACAAAAATCACCAAGCAAATTGATAGAATCCAAAGGAACTTTATCTAGGGCACTACCCCAAATAGGAAAAAAATGCACCTGGTTAATTGAGATAGGGTCACCAAGAAGAAGGCCAATGAGGGGCTAGGCCTCCAAAAAGCATAATTGAAAAACAATTATAACGGGGCCGCTAGAGGTAACTCAGGCAAATGAGGAATAGGTGGAGTATTCAGGAACTATAACGGGGATTGGATTACGGGGTATATGGAAAATATACCACATACAACCAATACCATGGCTGAACTGAAAGCTCTCCTAAAAGGGCTGCAACTAGCTGAGCAAAATGGATGGATCCCTTTGGTCATCAACATAGACTCGGCAGAAATAATCCAAATGCTACTCACAGGTAACTTAACATACGATCCCATGATTTTTGAATGCATGTTGTTAGTGCAAAGGATAAACAAGGTCGTGGTGAGGCACACGTACAGTGAGCAGAATAGGGTGGCAGATACTATAGCAAAAGAGGCAGCAAAGCCAAGTTTTTTGGGAAGATCCAGCTTACTAGCAGTTCTTCCGATGTTTGAAAATGATATATTTTGGGCAGACATCCTAGGAACTGAAGTTGTTAGGAAATATTTTGCATGTAATATTGATACTGTATATCAAAACATCGCAGTAATGGGAAAATTACAGTACCCGGCACTGACAGTACTTTGTAATGTATTTTCTAGTTTGGTCGTTATAC